GTTGCATTCAAATGTAGTAGCACAAATTTGGTTATTCACTTCATAGCTGCTTGTGAGACATTGGCTGTTGCATTCGCCTACCAAATACACAGTGACTACACTTTACCGTAAATTCTGGGAAGCGCTTTGAGATATTCCCTCCACACCACACACACACACCCCCACCGCCCCACGGAGTGAAAGATGCTATATCAAATGTAAAACACAATATGTTCTGAGGACCTGAAAAAAAAATCAAGGTTTTCAGTGTTATCCTGCAACAGAAACATAAGCTTTAAAACAAGTACTGTAAGCTGTTGAGTAATTGACAACATGTTATCCTGTTATATTTATACATATATATTGTATGGATCCCTTTTCTGTGAAAGCCTTAGTATTCCAGATTAATTTGGGATAATTTTTCCAATGTTAACAAAAGAGTGTTTCATGCATTCTGCAATTATTTTATTTTGTGAGTTAAGACTTGTGCAAACTTATGAAATATACAATATAAAAAGTATGATTTCACTTCATGGCTGTTTGTGGGACATTGCTGTGCGCAAATAGGCTGCTGTTTGTCTACACATAACACAGTGACTACACTTAACAGTATATCGTGTGAAGTGCTTTGAGACGTCCCCCTAACGTGAAAGGTGCAATAGCAAATGTAAGGGTTATTGTTGTGTAGGAGAACGGCAATGATTAGGGCATCGTACTGTACACTGCTGGCAATAAAAGTGCAAAATGGAGATCACAAAGACACAGAGGCTACATTTCTCGGGGCCAGAATCGTTACTTTCTGTATATGTTTATTTAAAGATCGATAAATTCACCAACACCCAAATGAAGGTTCAGCCCATCGGCACTAATAGCAAAAAAGCTAATGTAGCAAAAGTCTATCAAACACCACAGGATTGCCAGGGAAAAAATAAATGATTGTATCATTCAGATGCATGGGCATCAAAGAAGATTCTAATTTGACCAGAGGACAAGATCACAAAGATCTTCAAAATGGTTCCCGAGGGCAAGAGGGAGTTCCAGATGTTTGCTCCTTTCTTGCATTCTCCCAGTACAAGTAAAACTAGTTTCAGATGCATTAGATGCAGTAGATCCTAAAATGGCAAGAAAGTACTTTGAATCTAATTTATGAGGAAAGTCTTATAATCTGTAATTGCATTTCAATTGCATGTACAAGTCTCTGCCCAAGAAGTGGCTACTGCTATCCTTCTCAAGTTCCAGGTCACTAATCTCATGAGTAATTGTTCGGTTAATTTCCTTCTCTCCATAAATGAGTAGTTATGTTCTTTCAGCTTTACCCCATTTATCGTAGTGACAATAACCAGGCTGCAGTTTCCCAGTGACTGTAACAAAATAAGTCAAATTCACTATTTATTACACAGAATTCTGAAGTTTGCAACAATATTTTGGGGAAGCAAATTTCTCCTTCTGATGGTACTTTCTCTGTTCCTGCTCATCCTACCCACGGTGGTTCTGTCTGTATGTCTGTTTTGCTTTTCACCACTCGTGGAAAGCAGTGTTAAACATCGGAAGGACTGCAGTGCCAGGTTAAAGAAACAAACATTTTTGTGTTCAATTTTAACTGTTTTTTAAAAAAAGTCGAGAGTTGACCAGTGGAAACAATAGTGCCCAAAGAGTGGGGGGGGGGGGGTAGAGAAGCGGAGCCGAGAGGCATGGAGGAGAGGTGAGAAGAGAAGAGCCGAGGGCTGAGCAATCAGGAGTAGAGCAGCATGAGCACAACATAGGATCGAAGAGAATTGTTACAATTTTAATATTTGTTATGTTTTAAATAATTGGCATCGGGCTATATCAGCAGTGAACATGTGGCATTCATAGCATTTATTCATCTTACCTGGAAATCAGATAACAGATGATGTAAGGATTTAAGTTTTAGAATTTGTGTTTTAAGTACGTAGACTCTGTTTTTAACTTTTTTTTAAAAAAAATGAACCACACAAATGTCAACACGAATTACAATGCAGGAAATTTATTTTAAAGTTGGTGTATTTGTGAACACTTGGGGTTTAAAATAAATATTAATGTACTGTAATTTGTGTTTTTTTTAAACTACTTAAAAACATAGTCTACAAACTGTACTTAAAATACAAACGTTAAATCTTAAAATCCTTACATTATCTGTTATCTCATTTCCAGGTAAGACAAGTAATGCTAGCAAAATGGTAATATTAGGTTTCCTACATGCAATCTCACATTTAACCGAAGAGCCAATCAGTTTAAAAGACAGAAAGGTTGAAACATTTTTAAAACATTTTTCTTTGCAAGGAACTGAGGAAATTAAAATGAATGCCACAAACTGAAATGGAGTCAGAAGCACATCATTTTTGTAAAAGCAATAAATCATTAAAAAGCAAACGTCTTTCCTTGGGAAATGGGCTGCACTTAAACAGGATCATTCTTCACCCCATAATTATTAAACATTAGATCGCTGGCAAAATGACTAGAATTTTCGTGATCTTTAAATCAAACAGGATCTTTGCCAATATAAATATTGATTGAAATGTATCAATTTTCTGACTTCTTTAACTGCTGAGACTCAAAGATGATATGAAACATGTAGCTGGCCAGACTTCAGTAGCAGGTTTGAATTTATCCCTGGCACAATGTCTCTTCTGTTTAGTGATATGTAGATAGGTCAGACAAATATAACAAGATGAATCACACTGTGAATCAATTGTGTCAGATTGCAATGTCCATTTGGGAGTCTGGAGGACGGAGCTTGATGCATTTATTTGAAGGAATTACTCAAAGCTAACACTAACATCAGAAAGTTCCTGCTTTGCAGCCCAACAATTTGCACTGGGCTTCACAAGGCAGCATGAAATTCCTGAATATTCTGCGATTGCTGTCAACAAAGTGCAACAAGACAACTTAACAGGGATTTTCTTGTTCATACTTGTGCACTGCATAGTCTATGTGTCCAACACCAAGTCACCCTCAGCCTCATATTAGTCTATTCAAGGATTAATAAGAAATAATAAGAAATGAGACTTAATGGGTCAGATGGCCTCCTGTACCAAAAAATATTATGTTTCCATCTTAAATAAAAACTTAATTTTTTAAAAAAAACCTAAACGGAACACTTTTCAGGACTTTGAGATTGTAATGCCTTCTGTGATCCTTCTAAAATAATACCCATTTGTAATAAATTCACAAAAGAAAAATGCAGATTCAGAAATGGACAAGAAAAATATTTTTATATGAGAATGCAAACTATACAACATGTTTTTTTGGTCATCTGAATGCATTCTGTTTTCACACCATATTAATCTCTTCTGATCAAAGAGGTTCCTAATGTACATAGATAAATATAAAAGAGGAACAGTTATTGCTGGGGGTCAGGATGGACACATTAACCATCCCACTAAGACTTACATTATTGGTTTTGTTAACAGCTTGTGGATTTGTCATGTCATCAACAGGTACTGAAATGCCATGACATCCCTGTTGCCTTTGCACAGAGATGAAACGTCTAGCTGTCTTCCATATGTTTGCAAACTATCATTCACACTGAAGATGAGAAGTGAACAAACAAATCAATGTGACCATCTTCCTCTTCACAGTGACTATTTCTATTCACTTCATTTTTGAAAGTAGGGTAAAAATAGGCTGTAGGCGTTTGCGTTGCGATGAAAAGGGAATATCTACAAAATCGATTATGGAATAACAGAGGCATAAGCACAGATATACACTGTTGAGTTTATTTTAAGATGATGTTATTGGATTTAATCATGAAATACATTTCTTCGGGGATTTTACTGTAAATCAGAACCGAGCCTTTTAAGGTTTATTCTAATTAAACAAGTCATGGCTTTCGAGAGTATAAATCATATTACTTCAAATTGCAGAGTTCAGACATGAGAGATTTCAACACTTACCAAACTTTGTCATTTTAAACAATGTTGTGATATCACCAAAAGTAAATCACCCAAAGTAATTGTTGGCCAGGACAGTGGGGAGAAACTTCTGTCTCTTTTCTCAAATACACAGCCACTGCACTTTACAATAACTCCTGTGAAGCGCTTTGAGACATCCTCCCAACATGAAAGGTGCTATATCAAATGTAAGGATTATTAATATTATTGTTTTATTTAAGAATTCAAACTTTTTAAGCTTTTGGACTGCATCAGTACACTTTTGTGAAGTACTTTGAGACATTTCAATGCGCTGAAGTTTTCTTCTTAAAAAAAATGCTGGTTCTTTCTCTGTAGCCTACCATCTTTATTTATATAGGGATATGAGGTGGAGTCCTGTAGCTCAATGGTTAGAGCACTCGCCTTGCAAGCGAGACACCTGGGTTCAATTCCAGGCAGGGTGAAACCTTGGGCAAGTTTCCTTACTCCACACGCCTAATAATAATCCCTCCAAAAACAAAAACAATAATAAATTGGTCATTTTCAACCATGACTGTGGGACACTGCTGTGCTCAATTGGCTGCCGCATTTCACCCACAAATATACAGTCAATTCACTTTACAGTATATTCTGTGAAGCGCTTTGAGACGTCTAAAAGATGTGAAAAGCGCTATATCAGATGCAAGGATTTTTATTATAGATCAGATATTCTGTAGTTCTGCCTTACTGCCTTTGGAGAGTGTGCCCCGTGAAAGAAATAGGTTTGTAGAACTAAATGATTTCTCAATCCGTGCTTTCTGTACATCTTTAATAGTACCCTGAAAAAGGCAGGTAAATGGAGCATTGTTTGCAGAATAGAACTGCATCTTTCTAGAAAAAGAAACGGTTCCTGTCCAAGATGAAGTGCACTGCTGATGTCCAGTGTTCTGTCCAGCAGCTCAACTGCACTAAGATGAAATCCATCCACTGAGAGTGGACACGTTAGACAGATATTCATGGTTCACATTAAAACTTGAACCCTCCAGTTGGGAGTGAACATTACTTCACATTGCTAGAACTATTGAGTCGATTACTTACATTTTTTTTGTATTGCATAAAAATGACATGCCAATCATTTTCTCCTCCATACAGGACTGTGGATTGATAATCCAGCCTGACGAGTCTTGTGGCCTGCAGCCAGTGTTGAGCAGTTACTTCTCAGCAGTTACTCAGACGCAGCTTCCAGTCTGTAAGACGGGGGATGCCAAAGGTTGGTGATCATCACTATGTGGTCGAGACTGTTTTCATAAAAATGGAGTCAGCAGGAAATCCCTGTAGAGTGTTGTAAAGCGCAGATAAAATGTATGATTATATATCATTTAAACTGTTCCCTCAGTGTCTTTCTTCTCTGCAGGAGTATGTATATCATACACAAAGAAGTTGACAGTAGACTCTGCCTTTATATCCTGTTAAAGGAAGATCCAAATGAAATAAGTATTAACAGACCCAAGTTGAAATGTATATAAAAGATGAAGGGAAGTTCTTGACAGCACTAAACACCAGATTGAAATTGCCAGAATTTGATTCCCATTTCAATGTTCGGTGAAAGAAGGGGCTTTATTTTCATTCCTTGGACTGGATTTGAACTCTGCTCTATGAAAGTACGGAACGACATTACAAGTATAGGGACACAATTTGCGTTGTTCCTTAATGCGTTCCTTGTGATTAATGGATTATCGAGTTAAGAAATATTGCAAGTTTGTTACTAATTCTTTAATTCATTCCACCCATAAGCCCTTACCTTCACTTACCTTACTGCTGCAGCTTCCAATTTCTCCGAGACAGCTGGCTGGCCACTTGCAAGTTTATAAGAAAAAGGAAACTGACTTTTATGGCAGTTTCCTGGTATAGATCCAGGAACATGGTTTTGAATCCATATTTTTACCTTGGGGAGATCCATGTTGAAAGATACCTCCAGGTAACAGTTGACTTGTTGCTTACTGTGTCCAAACAGAGTTAGGCAACAATCAACAAAATTAACAGGATGTGGCCCACATTGCCACATTAGTTTATTCAATTATATTCCCACAAGGCAATATAACTAGGTCTCTTCATTTCTGTGACAAGATGTTTCAGCAGAGTAGGACAAACCTGAGATCTTTAATCCAATAAATTAAACTTTTCAGACACACTCCAGCACAGGTTCACAGGTTTCAAGGGCAGGTTTAGGACAGTTGCCCATTGATATGAATTTGCAAAGGAATGTCTTAAATAATACTTTATTCATGACGTTTTGGGAAATTTACTTTCACTTTGCCATTTGGCTTTCCATTCTCAAATTGGGATCCCATCTCCTCAAAACAAATTGTCATTCCATCCTGGCCCACCCAAGTCAGGCAGCCACTCAGTAGACAGAACTTATGACAGACACACTAACATGTCTCAACTTTTTCCTATAAGGAACACAGCCAATGTACCAAGATTATTTCTGTTCAACCAAATCCTAAGAAAGTTTAAATTGAAGACTGCGACCAAATCCCATAAGAAGGAAAATCAAGGCTGAGAACTTGCTCTGTCATTAATAAAACGAAAAATATATATTCACGCATTTGCAAAATAATATTTTAAATTGACTGAGTCTTTCTTTATTTTTTTCAGTTGGCTCAGCATGATTGAGAGGGGGAAATTGTTTCCTATGTTTCAATTGGCAAATATGTTAATCAGCAAATTTGTTATGTTTAAGTGGAAATAAGTAGCCTTCTTTGTTTAATTGGCAATTGTGCTGATTTGGCCTCCAACTCTCGAAAGAAGCTGAAGATAAATGATACAGGGTGCATCCGTGCGGTGCAGTACAGTGGAAGGTCACACAATGTGCTCTTAAAGTGAAAGGCATGCTAATAACTTTCCTAGTGGGCTGTAGTGTATTCAAGTGATTGCACATGGTATGTGGAGGAGAGCTTCATATGAAAAATGAGAGCTGCTCCTATACCTTTGGATTTTGTCTATTGTGTAACCTTAATACATTTTAGTTAACTTTGATGTTGCCTGCACAAATCTCTTGAGACTCCTTAAAAATTACTTTAAATGTGCCATTACAACACAGTTTATGTTTGCTGTTGACAAACCAATTAGTGATTGATTATAACTTTTTTTATAATAAGAGATACTATACAATATTTATAATACAATTTTTACAATAAGAGATAATAATAGATTACAGCCGAGATACAAATGTATTGTTCTTTCTTTGTGCATCTATTTTGGCTTGCATAGGACGCCAAGAGGCAAACTCTTTATGGCACAAAAGAAGTCTGTGGCAGAAACACCATCTGTTCTAAATATACAGATTAGGTCAAAGTATGTTTTTATTCCAAAAATGGGTTTGCACCAGAAAATCTACCATCCATGGCTGTTCACCCTCCCAACGATCAGATCAATTGTAGAAAACACACTTTGAAATTCCACGATGGATTAAAACAGTATCATTAGTATATCGCAGAGGTACTTCTCCATTTGTCTGGACCATCCAAGGTGTAGATAACAAACAGAATTACTGCTTAATTCCTCCATTCTTTGCTTACTTTTTTCATAACTCCACTCAGTGTAATAAGAAGCAATTTCCTTAACCGTATTTCATTATTTGGTTTTTTTTCTCTTAAGTATTAAAGAAAGGCTTGATTTTTATTCAGTTATCAAAATTTACTATGCATGTTGCTACATTGAGTATAAATCCCCTTTGTTTTTCAATCAACATCTTGTTTTCCTCTCACTGCATTCCAAAATACTCACTACAAATTACAGATTTTAAAAGCAAATACATTAACTGTATGGAAAACCTGTTTCCAGGTCTTCAGCAATTCTAGGAATTGCCAGACAAAAAAAGACCAAGGTCCATCTTGTTTGCCTTCTACCATCCTGGTAGTCGTGTGCTACAATAATGGAGTTGTTGATAGCAATTAATTCTGCATGGATTAGTCTACAACAGAGTGGAAAGCTTTGGGAACCTTAGATCCAAAGTTGTCTGGTTCTTCCAAACATACTGCACTTACTATATGTCCTGTCTCAAATTACTCATATACTGTAACCTGTTTGGGAGCCACTCCGCTGCAGTGTGCTGGTAATGACAAACACTCTGATTAATAGCCCCCTCCCCCAACCCCTCTCAGTCCTCAGTCATAGGGGAAAACATAATAAAGTACACTTTCAGCCCCCCTCCCCCACCCCCCCTCAGTCCTCAGTCATAGGGGAAAGCATAATAAAGTACATAGATTGCTGAGCTGAGTTGCATTTCACAGGTGCCCTGATTTCAGTCGTGGTGGCTAGCACAGTAGCATGGAAAACTTTCGGTTTTAATTAGAACAAGGTAACACATTTGCAATTCACGGTTCAAACAAATCCTACAATAACAGCTCGAGTCTAGATTTTAGTCCCACAGCAATTGCCTGAAGGCAAGAGGGCTAATCACTGAATCACACTGGGAATTATGTCTGAAGAGTTCACAGTTTTCGGGACACCACCTCACACAGAGTGGTTCTTTGTTGTTTGAGATCAAAGAAGTGTTAGGTTGTTTTACTCTTTAAAATTTTTGATGATTTATGAATTGAATAGCCATTAAAACACTGAACGGGTAGTCTGGGTTAAGTATAGTTAACACGGCCTCGCTAATTATGTGAAGGATCTAAGCAGTTTATGTAGCTTAATATGTTATTATTCAAGCAAAAAAATGTCTGCTGCAAAATTCCCAAGGGTCAAAAATCTCACACACAAAAAAATAATGTTCCAACTTCAAAGACAAACCTTTTTAAAACTCTCTTTTGTGCTGTTTGTACCTATTCTAGTGTATAGAAGACAATAGTTTAGTGTAAAGATGAAGGTAGAAGGAAGAATCGTTCCTTACTATTTCTCAGAGAAGCAGAGGCTCATCATCCAAAGTCAATTAGTGAGCACAAGATCATGCAAGTAGCAATTCTATGTCTGTTGACTGAAAGATATAAACTCTGAGAACAAAAAAAGGGGAGAGGCAAACTAAAAATACTTTTGGTGTGTCTTAAAGCTCTTTAAAATAAAGTCTGCTGCTGTGTTAACAATACCAAAATGACTTTTTTTTTGGTTAGCCGGGTGTCTGACACACGTGGAAAGCTATCTTAATGCTTAAAAGTATCCAAACCTGACTGTGAATTCCACATGTATGCCACTTACACAAGGAAAATTCCCTGTAACTTCAATGGAATGCACACTCTCTTCTGGGAGGCATGTACCCTGCTTACCTAATTCAAAGTATTAGGCATAGGTTGGCAAGGCTTGGGCACCTCAGAGTGTGTGTTGGAGTACTGTTAGAATTTAAATCTAAATTCTAGAATTTAAAACAACATAGTTTGCCATTGAAAGCACTGTCTGCCAATCTTTCCACTACTTGTTCAGCTAGGACCATCCTACCAGTTAGGGGTTTGGCTTGCAAAAAATAAGGACTGAACTGTTCGGTAATTTATTTTGATATTGTAATAATAATCCTTGAATTTGACACAGCATCTTATGACCTAGTTAAAATGTCTCAAAGAGGTTCACCGAATTTACTATATTGTTGACTGTGTAGGTAAAAGGAGCAGCCAATTTGCACACAGCAATGTCCCACAAACAACCTTAAAGTGAATTGCCAATTTTATCTGGGGGATTGTTGGCCAAGGATAAATATCTCTTCTGAAGGACAGGATCTCTGACAATATAAGCCTCCAGCAGCATTGCACTTGAGTGTCAGCCTAGACTATGAGCTCAAAGTTCTGATTTGGGGCTTGAATCCACAATCTCCTGGTGAGAGTGCTGCATAGATTGAGCCAGAGTGTGTTGTGTAGAGATTACAGACTGAAGGAGCCCAAATTCTGCACTAAATGGACCCACTGTGTTATGAAAACAATATGAATAATTTGTGTGTGTGTCTTTTGTCTCTCTCATTCTCTCTCACTGACTGTCTCTATGCATTTTTATGTATATACCTGTCTTTCTATCTGTGTGTGTGTGTGTGCCTCTCTCTCTTTCTCTCTGTTTCTCTCTATAATCTTGTACTTGAACTGGATTGGATTTCATCACCTCAGGCTGTCAGTTCACAGTGCAGCTCCATAAAGTTGTGATCTGGATACCTTGCTCATACATACACATAACTATCAAATCCCCACTTTGGAGGCCAGCCTGATTTTTGCATCCAACCCCATTGCAGAAATCAAGCTGGACTTCATTGTTGGGAATGTGTTTCTGATGCACGTTTTGTCGCAAATCCTAGCATGAATCACTCTTTGGCAGTATCCTTCTTCACAATTTTAGGAAGTTAAAGCTTAAAGCCTGAAAAATAATCAGTTTAATGTGTGCACAATGTGTGCCCCATCTGTCCCTTACTTATTTCTCCACAAGAAGCATCTGTAACCAGGTTGCGTGTAGTGTCTACCAATATCAAATAGACTGCTTAGTCGCGATACTTGCTACCCTGCTGTCTTGACTTTATTTTCATTGAGTTGAATAGGAAAGTATAACAAGGTAACGATTTACAGTAGAGGTTTTGCAAGCTCACAGCAAATACCTTTTAAAGTGGAAGTGGTAAACTTCTTTGTATAAGAAAAAGTCAGCTACAAAAAAACCTTCACCTGTAGCTGCTGTCTTCAGCCATTGTTATTGAGTGGTCAAACAAGTCATTGTGGAGACCACAAAGATTTTTATTCTTACAAACTTAGTCCATCAAATGCAAGGATTATTATTATTATCATTTTTCTTGCAGACTGGTTGTGACAGCTGTATAGACTGTACTCGGCTGGGTTACAACTGTAAAAACTAGCGACCTTTCAGTGAGGATTTCACCTTTAGGCTGAATTTTGATCTTATGAAAGTCATTAGGTCATCACCAGAAGGCTGCAGTAACACTTCAAGTCAGTAAACATTTGAAAGCACAACGGATGTTGCAACGGCATTGTCAGCTGTTTACATTTATTGATGTTTTCCCATTGGCTCTGTGACAAAGTAACCTGCTGTTGAACAGTTGGAATGGAGCTGAGCCCCTTGAAATCTAACTGCATTGTCTTCAGCAGCCTGAACCATGTGGTCAGTGCTGTCATTTATAGCCAAAGATTGACAGGGAGCCACAATAGATTATTTATAGACTTTCAAGGTCCATCAGTTTCTTCCTATTCCACCTCCCCAGTCACATCAGGAAAACACATTATTCCTAGAAAACAAACATAGCTTATTTTACTACTTTCACGCATTCCTTTATGAAGCACAAAACCATCATACTGGGCCACTGTATCTCTTTCAGAGGAATAAGTCCACGTAAGGTCAGATTCACTGGATGAAGCAACAGCAATTCTGTTTAGTTACCAACAGAAAGGAAGAGTAGATTTGTGAGCCAGCATCTCTATTTTTTAAATATATCCTGACTTTTACTTATTGTCTTTGAGTTCTTCATATGAACATTAGTAGCATTCTACTGAATGCTCTCGAACGTTTTTCCTCGACTAATATTTGGCTTACAAGTCCATAGTTCATGGGAGGTTGGTTTGAAGAACAGCCTTCTGGTCCATTTGTTCTCATTCTTACAGATTACCAATCCTACCACAATACAGCATCAAGCTGTTTCTTAAATGAGTTCAGCAAGTTAAGCATAGATTCATGCCATACTGTTTTTTTTAAACAGTGGCCTAAAATGTTCTGCCCGCAAGCATGTGTATTTATGGAACGCTTGCACAGATGTTAGCCCTATTCCTGCCATGTTCTCTCTGATTTCCTCGAGTATTATGGAGATATATAAATTGGTCCCTATGTGCCCTGAATTATTGATTGACATCATAATAATAATCCTTGCATTGACATAGGACCTTATCACGACATTGAAATATTTTTAAAAAAGGCAAAGGATTTACTGTAGAGTGTAGTAACTGTGTATTTTGCATTTTGTTATGTAATTAAAGAAAGTGTTAAGTATTTAAAGAGAGAAAATTCAGGTACATTTTCCCTCTGATATGAATATAGAATAATTGTCTTTTGAAGTTTACTAACATAGATCTATGTGTGTGTGTGTTGGGGTGGGGGGTGCAGGAGAGTTGGAATAAATTAGCTGATCTGGAATACATTTCAGTAATTTGATCCTTGTTGTATTAGGGGTTTAAAAAAGAGAACTGAAACTAGAGAATGTACAGTGGTAGTGCTTTGAACACAATGGCACCTCCCCGTACTGAACACATTCGAGGAGTGTCAATAATCCAGGGAATGGTCAGAAAACATAGAAAGTTGCTTGGTAAATTTCAGGAAATTGGTTGAGTGTGTACTGTATTTATGGACCAATACCAGCCTACGTCAGGACTTTGAAGTCACAGTCTCAGCTAGCACTCTAATGCAGTGCTGGGGGGATTCTGCATTGTCAGAGGTACCGTCCTTTGGATGAGATGTTAAACCATGGTCCCATCTATTAGTTCAAATGGATGCTTCTCCTGGTGTCCTGGTCAGCAACCCAGATAGAATTGGTCATTCACTTCATTTTGTAGGACATTGCTGTGGGCAAATTAGCTGTTGTGAAATGAAACATTTCAATTGTGTTTCTGAAATGCTTCACTGATTATTCCAATGCTATCAACATATATTCCAAAATTGTTTGAATCTTGATTACTGAGTCTCTTCTGTTGTTTTAGGACAGTGGGTTGTCCCTTGTTTGAGCTGTTTTGACAACCAGACTTGTGACTGGCAGAAAGCAAGGTGGCAACCACACAACTGTCATCACCTAGCACTGACTAGGTCACAACTACAGCAGTGCATGAAAGGAAAAAGGGTAAGGATTTGGCTTCCTTGTAGCTTTAGCTGCTTGGCACTTGAGAGTTTATTACCCAATAGCGAATGATACTCAATAGTAATATACCGCAGGCTATACTGTCTGCCAACATATATTGTGTGCCAAAGCTACCAGCAACATTTTGTTGTACACAGTGAATATGAACTGAAACCTCCTAAAAGAAAATTATACGTTTAAAAGCTTAATGGCACATCTTGTTGCTATAATAACAGCCTCCACGGCATAATGGTAAGAGGTAGATTTGTATCTGTGTTTCTGATTGCAATCTGTTCAAGATCTCTGTCAAGATATTCACAGGAGGCAATGGCATTCAATGAAGACTACCTCACCACAGGAAGAAATGGAAAGTAGAATGTAAAATCTCCTGTTGTGTTATTCATACAGCAAGATTATTGTCAATTAAGAAAACGTTGCTGGACAAAAATGTCCCATTTTCTGAGCTAAAGAAGGCTAAATGGCTGAGCGCAGCTTATGAAGGGAGATAAATCAAGCTCAAAATTAGAAGCAAGGGTTTAATAAATACTCACACAGGAATGTATCAACCCAATATGATTGTTGGATTGATTTCAAGATCCTCTCACTCGTTTTCAAATCTCTTCTTGACCTTGCACCTCCCTACCTATTCAATCTGCTTACCCCTCATTCCACCACCCGCTGCCTCCAGCATCCTGTTTGTCCCTCATCTCCTCCGCTCTACCATCGATGGTTGCACTTTCAACCCCTATGCCCTGAAACTCTGGAGCTCTCTCCCTGAAACCTTCCACTTTGCCCCCTCCCTTCCCAATTCCAAATCCCACCTAAAGACCTTTTTGATTGTGCTTTCGGCTCACCTCCCCCCTCCCTCTCCCCCACGTTCGATGTCAGACTCTGGCACTGTCAAGTGCTCTAGGACACTACCCCATGTGAAGGACTCTATATAAATGCAAGTTGTTGCTTACAACTGAAATATTTTACGAATTATTCTTATTGCATTTTTTGTACCTAATCTATGTGGAGAAGGTTATACTATGACACAAATTCGCAAAAGTAGTTCAAAAGAAAAAAATAAAATCAACAATTAAGAAATTTAAGTGATTACAAAAGTAGAAACTTAACTCTTTAGATTTCTTAAGTCGCAGCACATTTTCAAATTTACAAAGCTAACCATGCTAAAGTGGGTTGTTATTTTATTTGCAGTGTAAGCAAGGGAGAAAGAAATAATAACGGGTAGGAAATATAACTGCAGAAAAAAGCAATAACTAAAATTCTACTCAAAGAATAACTGAAATGTAAAACCGAATATGAAACAATTTCATGGAAATCTGATGAGATGATATTCACTTAACCTCAGAAGAAACGTGGAGAGCGATTAAGTCAATTTAAGTTTATAAGAAAAAATATTATATTGGTTTGGCAACCACATAATAATTGGCATTCATAGTGCAGTGTTCTGCTGCTTTTACATTTAATACACTCTGTTAGTCATGTTTTCCTCTTTCATTGCTTTGACATGCGTTCTTAAGGGGCATATAAGATAGTAGTTCTACTTTATGCTGACTGAAGACCGCATGAGGACAATAGAATGCAGTTCCATTTGATTGTCACCTGGTAATGGACATAAAACTAATTTTGTGAATTGTTTGGTGATAATAATAATAATTTTTGCATTTGATGTACACACATATATATACACACACACACATACTCACATACACATATACACACGCACATTTGGCTGACATTGTTACCTTCAGGAAACATGCTACCTTAATTTGTTGCCAAAAGTGAAATGAACTTAACAGTTGATTAGTCTAAACGTTGCCTGTTCTTAGCTCATGCCACATAATAATGTTTGGCAGGAATTTATACCAATGCAATATAAACATCCGAGAGATTTTTTCCAATATGGAAAAATAAAAAAAATCTGCTGAAACGACCCCAAATAAATGCAAAATATAAAGTGCTAGGAAATGTTCCAGATCTCTTCTATTTTTTGAGGGTCAGCTGGTGTCTAACACATTTCAGAAACCCATCCCCATGCTTAAAAATATTCAAAGCAAACTACACAATTACAAGTGAGGTTTGGATGAAGAAAGCCTATTTGAACTCGTCCTTCCAGAATACCTATCCGACCATCTTCTCATGACAGCACCAAGCATTTCTTTTTAAAAATGGGTCCAGCAGTCTGGCCTCAACCATCTTCCATGTAATCTGTTGCAGCCATTAATTACCTTGATTATTAGGACAAGGAAACCTGGTTTTGATCATGAAATTGTTCTTTGTGAACCTAAATTTACATCCTCTTGTTCTGTTGTCTTGGTGCATTCAAAAGTAGTGTTCTGAGTTTTATTTTCTCAATCCCATTCGTCTGGAATGGATGTGCACTGTTTCCCCAGAGGGGCACGTCTTGCTTACCTAATCCGGAAAGTATGAGGCACAGAGTAGCAAGACTCATGATTTGGGCACCCCAGAGTTTGCATATGCTGGATCTTAACCCACTAAAATTGCATAGCTTTCCACTGCAAACACTATCTGGCAAGTTCTCCACTGCTTGTCTAACTCGGGTCATCTTACCCTCAAGGGCTTTGGCTTGAAAGATGAACAGGAGCCGAGTGGGTCGAATCCCTTTCCCAGTGACTGGTCTATCCATCCAAGTCCAATGCATGGTTTCTAAGGCGTCTGTTTATTCTGAACATTGGCTGTGGGGTTTCTTTTTTTACACACACACACAGCTTTATTAGGACAAGGAATGTCATACTTAAACCAGTGATTAAAGCACAACCACAGCAGCTTTCAAAAGAGAACTTTATATAAAATAGAAAAGGGTGTGTCTAAATGTATGGAGCTTACAAAGTACCCAACACAGCCATGATGGGCCGAATGGCCTTCTATGGTTACAATTCTATGAATTGTACCTGACAATCGAAGCCTAATGTAATTGGGCATTAATAATGAGTGTTTTAAATACAAAGTGGATTGTTTGGGAGGTACAATACAGTCCTGGCACAAACCTATCACTACATTTTTGAGTCTCCATCACTTTATAAACAGCTTGAAACAAGCATTTGGCTTTTCTCAAAAAATTAATCAATACGTTTTGAGAAAAAATAGTTTGAATGGAATTACTACCACTTGGGCATTCCATATTTGTTGTGAATATTGAGTATGATAATGCAGTGAAATGTTAATAATGCAGTGAATTCTTGGGTGTCGTGGCATTTTAATGCTTTGGTGTTCGAGATGTATTTCCCACAGAATAGTAAAACACAGCCTTATGCCACATGCTGAGTTAGCTCCCAGGGTTGTGAAGGCATCTCAACCTCTTGATGTTCTCAGTCAGTAACACAATCCAGGCTTTGTGTTATCCTATACCTAAAGGTTTGCAAGCCGAACTATACACTTGTGATACCAAAGCTTAGCAACACATGGGTTATTTGACCATTTGTTTTTTGTTAGCTAAATTGTTTTTCATTAAACAACTGAACCATAACCTCTTTAACCATAACCCGGTTTATTCAGTAAAGGATTTGCTTTCCAGATTGCAAATTTAATTATTAAGAAAACACATTGCAAATTCATATATCTTAGCTTGTTAAATGAATATTTTAAGCATGGATCAATAAATTCAGTTCGCTTTCGCAATTCATTTAATTCTGCTGCATAATAAGTGTTAGAAATGTTTGTAAAGTACTTGTTGAAGCTGTCATTTCATACACGATGTAAACATTCATACATCGTCAGGGTATAGAGGGATATTCAGCTTTCTGAGGTAAGATGATTGCATGGTTGTTAAAGCGTCAATAGGAATCTCAGCAATGTCATTTCTGAGGATACAAATAAAGATCCTGGTCCTCAGCTTCAACACCATTCCATGGCCTTGCTCACCCCTACCTCTGCGACCTCCTAACCCCTTACCAACCTGCCCACTCCCTCCACTCAGAGTGCTCCGGCCTGCTTCACATCCCCGCCTCGCCCGCCCCACCACTGGCGGGTGGGCCTTCAGCCACTCTGTACCCCCTTTGGAACTCCATCCCCCAGTCCCTCCGCCTCAACCCATCCCTTGTCTCCTTCAAGACCCATCTCAAGTCCCTCCTCTGCGACCGTGCTTTTGGTCACCCTCCTTTCCCCCCTGACCTCCATCCTCCCCAATCCCGACCCCCAGTTCGAGTCCGAAACACTGATTGTCCAGCATCTTAGGACATCCTCCCGACTTGAAAGGCTCTATACACTATAATTTTGTTGTTACTGTTGTTCTACATCCCCGTTGTTTCTGTGGTTTCCCAGTTTATGTATCGATTATTCTCACACCTTTTGTTTCCTCCAATAGGCTCTTTTTATTGGAGATTCAACCAATAGGGGAATGATGTATTACCTTATGGAGAAAGTCAATGAAACTCTTCTGGAATGGGACAAGGCCCATGACATGAAATTCTATTACAATCTAAATGGAGGAAAAACGTTTGCTAGCTATGTTTATTATCCCCAGTTCTGGCTCAGTTTAGATCGTAGACCTACATTTGAAAAAGCCTTGGAGCACCTTATAGACAGGTAACGTGTCTCATAAGTGAACTCTTTATTTTAAGATGAATTCAGTCTCTGTCAACATATCTTAAGGTTCTGAAAACGCTGGTTTTCTATTTGACTGTTTTACTGGTGCAAAACTAATGTTGCATTATGTTGCCATTTTGTTATCAAACATAGGCGTTGAGCCATCCAAATCACTCTCACCACCCTTTGTGTGAAGAAGATCCTCCTAAACTCAATTTTACATCTTTTACTAGTTATCTTATATTTGTGCCCCTTCTTTTTGGACTCACCAGCAAGTGGAAACAGTCTATTGGCATCCACCTTACCAAATCCTATTATAAATTGAAACACTTCTATCAGGATGAGTTAGAATAGGAGACAACATGATGAGCTTTAAATTTAACAGAGTGTGGATGCAGGGAGCTGGATGGGCACTTGAGACAGCAAAGTTGAAGTTTGGGTGAAAGCAGAAGGAACATGTGGAGAAGCTGTGATCGTAACATATAGAGAAACTTTGTTTGAGACTTGAATGGGGCAGTCAAATTCTGCAGTTGTTAGCTGAGCAGCTGATTTGATAGTCATAATTCTGCTCTTTTACCTGTTTTCCTTGCTCCTCTGATGGTAGAAATCCTTGCTGGAGTTCATTGATTTGTACTCAGCTTTAGGTTCTGCAGCTGATGCTATGGTCAAAGCATTGAACTTGAGAATATTCTTATTTGTATGGCTCCATGCTATACCATACAATGCATACACTGTGCCAGTGGTTACAGAGGTAATAAATACAAAGGCAGATGAGAATATCTGTCTGTATTTATTATATCTCAGTACCTAATGCTGAGAACCATCCCTAAAAAATAAATATTACATGCAATTTTAATGTACATTGTTAAGATTACTTTGCTGAAAGTATTGTTTTTTACGCGTTTCAGGTCACGTCCTTTGGAAAACAATTACCAAACAGTCCTGGTCATAGGAGGCGTTCAATGGTTAAATACACATCACTTGCCCATCATTCAAAACATTTTACAAAGGTAAGACAGAACATATAATTCATGAGCAACTAAGTTTGGAGCAAGCTACAGTTGATCATACAATTGGGAGGAAAAAATCACATTCCATGTGTTTTCATAATGCATTCTGTTTGTGTTCCATGTTTAAAATTAGTCATTTTCGTTTATATTTTGGTTCCAGTGCAGCTAGAGGCCATGCAAGTGTTTATTGGGATAGTGTGTGCAAATTATTTGGAATAATTTTGCTTTCAATATTATTTTTGAAGGGAACACAGTAACAGTAGCAAAAAAACAAAATGTCATTCATCTACATGAATATTGAAATCACTTTTATGGAAATATATCATTGTATATGGTGTGTGTAAAAAAAAGTGTTGCTCTAAATCCTGAAGCCTTTGTTCTATCAAAACCTATTCTGGTAATTATTACAGTGAGTTTTAATTTTCTCATTTATATGTTTGGGTGAAATTGTTTGCTTTTTGAATGAAGGTTACCGTTGGAATGGAACACTTTTCCACTTCTGGTATTAAGTATCAGAATCAAGTATTTTCAAATCTAACACAACAAAAGACAGGTTCATGGTGAAGATCTCTACTCCTTCACAATAACAACATGCCTTATCCTCACCTTCAGAAGAGCACCGCCTACTCCACTCATTTGATTGATCTTCTATTTTCCAAAGCCATACAATCTAGTGATGTGTCTGAGGAAGATCTTCCAATGCAGTTCACTAATTGGTGAAGAGTTGTAAGTAGGTTTTGTTCCCAAACGATAAGAAGTTTGGAATTTGTCAAACCAATTCATCACAGACAGTGATCGGTCTAGATTGAATTCAAGGTTGCAGAGGTGTAAGAATAGTTTTATATATCAACATAAATAAAGTTTTATATATTACATATCAAATGATAGGTGTCTGGAAATGGGTTACAAGGATGTACCACCAACTCAAGCAAAATCAGAAGTAATAGAGATGCTCATGATAATTGCCAACTTAACTGTGAGATGAATTCCAGCCTTTAGTTTATTTGAGGGTATTTATTGTTTGATGCAGCACACATCAAAACCTCTTATAATTCCTTAATCCAAACAGCTGCTGTTGGGTACAGTCATACAGAACTCAAACTGGCTTCTCGAGTGTTTTTTATGTAATTTACAAAATGCAGGCCAACAAAGAAAAACCCAAGTAAATTCTGGGAATAACATGTTATAATTATAATTATTATTATATTATTATATTTAAGAATAACATGTTCTCCATCGGGATTACAAATATAAAATTAAACAACAATAATTACAACAACAACTTGTATTTATATGGCACTTTCACACAGAGTTTCGGAGTGCTTGAAACAACTTTTCCCTTTATTTCAAAGCATTAATCTGTCTATCATTTAGAAACTGGTTACCCCGCAGTGCAATTCCAGAATGTTTTGTTTTTTTATCACATTTTTAGTAATCTTTTCACCTCGTGCAGAAGTTTGGTGAATAAGTGAACATCATCACATGTAGTGCATGTTTGCACTAAACTAACAATTAATTTACCGTACACAAATAAACCTTGCAGGATACTCCAACATTGCGTAAAATTGATTCCAACGTTATTCTATTCAATACAGGATCATTTTGTTCAGTAAACATCCTAAGAATGTTCACTAGTTTGCAAACAAGAAAAATTGAACTTTTTAAATGATCTTTTCCAGAAAAACAGGCCAAACTTTTCACATTTTTTCAGTTTGTACTAAAATGTTTGCTTGCTAAGCATTAAATGGAGTATCTATAAACAATTCGCTTGTGTCTTTTGACAAACTATACTTATAAATATGTGCTATATGCCTTTTTTCCCCTAAAAGTTTCTCTGTCTCGTGTGTACGTTTACTCAAGTACTTGTCTCTGTAATGAGCTCAATAGTGAGAAAGAAGTATGTGACAATTGGGTCCAAAACAGATGTTTTTCTTTTGTGTGCCTGTTTTCAGTTAGCTGTTTGTCTTTCTTTTATACAAGGACTGAAGTTTATTGCTGTTTTCACCATAGGGTTTCATTCCCCAAACTGAACTTTGTTGATTGCCTTTGAGATTTGTATTTGTGTACGTAAGGTGATTTCACTAAAAGGTCGAACTTATAACAGATAAAAAGATTTTGTGAACGATCATGCAACTTCATTGTAGGTTGTTTAATGCTCCCAGCTGCCAAAAGTATACCGAGAAGCAACAGTATTAATAAACCATTAATTTAATTCCCACATTACAAAAGGTCCCTTTTCTTACAGTGCCAAGTTGTAAGTTAAAGAACCATAAATTCTGGATGGTTTCAGAAGAATTTATTTTCATTTCAGCTGAGGTAGATTTACTCTTTGCACCTATATGAAGAATGTCTGGTAGCTTGGTCCAGGGTGGCAGGTGGTGGACCATAGACCTGAAACCACTCACATCCTGGAAGAGGAACTAGTGACATTGTTTAGAAGATGCAGGGGATGTGAAGCTTGAAGGAGGAGTAACATTAGCGGTACGTAACAATAACAATTCTTGCATTTGATATAGTGCCTTTTCACATTGTCAAATCTTCTCAAAGCACTTATAGTAAAACCATGACAGATGGTCATTGATTTCTTTAACCGTGGCAGCTAGTTTGCACACAGCGCAAGAAATCAATGACCAACAGCGCAATGCAATACCCAAAGGGAGGGTTGCTGTTCAGGACACTGGGAGAAACTCCTTTCTTTTTTTTATATAGGATCTTTAACATCCGCCTAAATAGGCAACTTAGTTTGACATTTCATCTGAAGGATGGCATCTTTGACAGTGCAGCACTGCCCCAGTTTTGCACTGGCTATGATTGGGGCCCAGAGTATGAGCTCAACAAGCTGACAGAGAGCTTGAAAGCACAATCTTCTATCTCAGAGGCAAGAGTGCTACCAACTCAGTTAGTCTGACACTTAAGGGAAAATCTTATCCTAACTTTAATGGTACCAATTACATTTTGTATGGTACATGGATGGTCAAGCTTCTTTTAAAATTCAATACAATTTACACTTGTATAGCTCTTTTCATGTCGGGAGCATGTCCCAAAGTGCTTTCTGCACCATTCCCAGAGAGCCCCCAAAATTTACTGATGTGAACAAGTTCAATACATGCCAAACACATGCATTTGCTGGTGGGGGGCCGGAGGACATTTCTGGCAATGGTGAAAATGTGTAAGCAAAGTTAAAGATTCTTGGTACAAAACTTCAGGGCCTAGTGTTGCTGAGTTTATTTTGCAATCTGAGCCACTTTACTGTAAAGCAACAGGTGATTATTTAACATGAGGATATGAGGCACTTGTACATGTAATGCCAATATGGCAATTGTGACACAGCAGAATAACCAAATGGAGATATGTGCACTCGTTTGCACTGGTGATGTTACGATAATGTACTGTCTGCTCTCTTCACAGGACAAAGAAAAGCCAGGGGATCACATACCAAATAGAAACATCACAAACCAAAGCATCAACCATTGCCACTTCTAGTTGCCATTCCGTTGCTTCTCCTACTCAATAATATAGGTCATTGTACTTTACAGTAGTTGGATGGATGTAGTACTTAGAGTTTTTGCTAGTTCTGGAACATTAGAAGTTGATGGAGAGCGGTATATGCAATGCAGTCTTAAACATAAAGAATAAGACCTGCTGTCTGAGTGGCCATTGAGTTCACAGCAACAACAATGGAACCTACAGTGAAGATCTCTGTTACGTAGTGCTTAAAGAGAGAAAGCACATGGCTTATAAATGCCTGGACTGCTGCTCTGTGGGTGTTACTAAGGCTCAAAGTTCCAATATATGATCTTGCTTGGAAAAGAGAAGCAACCGTAATTGGGAGACATTTCAAAAGCCTCACAGATGCATAATATTGAAGGTTCATAGGCATCTTCAGGATCCAGCTTCCTCCAGTATGGAAGATCACACTGCAACCAGTTGCTTCCCTCCCATCAAATAACTGAACAAAACAATCAGTACCTCCTTGTGGAGCACTGAGACCACAGACATTTGGTGATCATGCAGGTTCATCAGGATTAGTCACAGATACAGCTAGTGGAACTTCTGCCCTGGATACCTCATATTAGACTGTGCAGATGTCCACCAGCTGGGATTGCATTTGATAGGACATATTCACATTTCACATCTACCAAGAAGAAGCTGACAATAGACAAGGAGCAAATGTGGGAGCACACAATAATGAATGTATGCACTAGTAACTCAATAAAATGATTTATTTAAAATGTTAATGTGGCTTCCAGTGCATCATTCTTTAACTGTGTGAAACATAAATGCAAAAGGATTGCAAAAGGATTTAGATTAGTTATGCAACGGGCATACATATATCAAATGAAATGAAATGTAATACTGATAAATGTACAAGTGCTGCGCTCAGGTAGAAAAATGTGGGAAATAAGGAATGGAATGATATGAATGCAGGAAGACTGATTCACTGTTTCTATTGTTTGAAGTGAAGGGAAATTGCTTCCCGCAGCAATGTGACCTGGAGCAAGAACCCAGATTTGTTCTTTCTAATCCTAATTGCAAGGACTGGAACTGAGCACGTGCAGTACTCCAATATCAGTTGTTATTTTATAATTATATATTATTGGTAATGTGACCAACTCTTTAATAGCATCAAAAGTGGACCCTTAAAGGTTCTTAAAACATTCGTTGGAAAGTCCAAGATCTTTGAAGCGGGTTATTTCTGTTTGGAGTTTTAATGAACTGATGCCCATTTTGTTTATACTGCAGCAGTGGAATTGATATGATGTCGAAAATGAGTCCTCAAGGTGGAGTCAGCCCCAGGGTCCAGCATAGTTCACTTTCAGGTTGCACCCCTCCCATTTTTGCGGGATCTTTGCAACTCCTGACGAATCACAAATAAAACTGGGGATGAGATGTAATAATGAACACGTCACTTTCAGCGTCTAGACATTAAGATGAACTAATTAAAAAGGCTATAAAATTCATATATATATATATACACACACACACATATGGTCTCAGAAGAGCATAGTACTTTATAAGGTTAAGGAAGTTATTGCGGTTATTGCGAAGGCATTATAATGAATGGGTGGGGCCACATCTATTATACTGTGTTTACTTTGAGCAATATGTCACCAAAAAGTATACTTGTATTGAAAAAAAGGTTTAGAGAATAGCAACAAAAATGATTCTGGAACTTAGACAATGTTATGAGGAGAGACTCCCAGAGCTGTGTTTGATCTTATTGGAAGAAAGATTGTAAGGGACATGATCTAGGACTTTCAAATAATGAGAGGAATGGATAAGTTAGGTATAAGCAGGTTGTTTGACTAAGACTACAAGATCAGACCTATAGGGCATTTGTTTAAAAGTTAAAAGCCTCAAGAGAAAATCAAGATTAAAAAAAAATCCCTGCAGAGTGATGGATATGTGCAACAAATTCCCAAACATAAACCCTGTTTTTTTATTGATAACACTTACAATGGATACAGTATTGCTGAACTCTTTTTAAGAAAAAAAGGTGATAAAATCTGCTTGGAAAGGTATCGGAGGGATAGGTATGGACTGAGAAGAACAAATACTTCACGGGATACAAAGATTGATGTGTTACTGGGGTCAGGGGTTAGTGGTAGGAATGTATGTGTAGCAAAGGAGGCCAGGTTTGATTTGTGGCGATGTGAGCATTGAATATGGTGGAAGGTTTTTCTTGATTAACTTTGGGGTTTGAGTTGTCGCTGTGAGACAATTCCCCCCCAAAAATAGAGTGGACAGAATAAAGTCCTTGATGGGGTCAGCTTTGCATGGACTGTGCAAAGGAGTGGGCTTGATGACCCAATTGTCCTTTATTTGTTCAATAGGGACTTTGATTTTTAATACTGCTCCTGTAACATAACAGGGCGAGCTAAGAAGAAATACTGAAGACATTTCCAGAATTAAACCATCTGGAAATAAGGCAATTAAGGGGGGGGATTTCTAAATAAAGTATGTAAGATATTAATGGCACACAACAGGTAACCCCATTCTATGGGGATAATGCTCTGTGTGGCGTTACATTTAGCAAAGTTTGTTAATGTACTCTTACAATAGAAAAATCCATTATTACCGTAACTATGAACAGAAGAAGTGTGTTCCACTGTTTTATTAGATCATGGCAAATTTTATAATCCCTGCCTTTTATCCCTTAATCCCCTTCACTCCCATATATCTAGCTATCTATTTTAAATTGATTCATCCAAGTGCACTACATTTAGGAGCACATTACATCAATTACTTCAAAAAAAGTAGCACCAGAACACGTAATTGGAAATAAGTGAAAACAGCTCTTGGAAATTATGTCAGAAAAACATATTCAAAAACATTCAATAAATATTTGGCATATTTTACCAAGCAAGGTTATAGAAATAAAATAACATTTGGTTATTTAAACAATGGGGAGATGCCTTATGATTGGAAATTTATTGCATTAGAAATTTATTTGCTGTAGTGAATTGTCTTTTCTCATCACCAACTTTTTATCATTTTATCACCAAGCTGCCTTCAGGACACAAACAAAAGGCATGTGTTTCAATGATTAAAAGTCTTTGCTTTGAGAAAGTGTACTTAACTGTACAATGTTTTATCATTACCAAGACCAACTTCATTAAAGACTGATCTTATTGAGTCTTTTTAGGGCAATTAAGATCAACTGATCAAAGAGATCATTTGTATGGGAATCATTTTATCCCTCTGGGGGGTACAAGGCTTAGAGCAACATTTAAGCTCTCTAGGATAATCTAGTATGATATATGGTCTTTTGAGCAAGGCATAGTCAATTGAAATGTATGTAATGTACATTTTTTTGTAAATATTCTTAGTTTTGTCTCAATTTATATTTTGCAGAAACAATCTTTTGAATATTCATGTCATCATAAAATCTATTGGAATGGGCTTTCATCTGCCAGTGGATGGGATCCGGTCCTTAACTTTGGTAAGTGGATTTTTTTTTGTGTGCAGATAAATAGCACATAACACAGATTTTCCTTTTTGGGAATGTTCTCAATGGGCGTAGTAAAAGACTGGAGCATAAGCACTAATAGATTTACTTTCAGTCTCCAAGTCAAACTGTTCTCCCTATTGGAAATCAATATCATTTGTTTTAGAATTTGTTACAGTGGAATACTGTTTCAAAAAAATGCTCAAATATCTAATCTTGATTAAAGTACCAATGTAACTTGTAAGTGAAATATCTCAGCGATGGAAATTTGAGGAAATTTAGGAAATATTTTATTTTCAATTCAAGGTAATTCAAGTAAAACTTGTTGTATTTATCTTTGACTGAAATGCAACCAGCAAACAACCTTGAGAGCTAAAAATGTGCTGGAAACAATTACTGAAAACTCTCTTGTCATATGGATATGAAAATGCACAGACTGAAAAAAGCCACTTTATTGGCTGGTTGTGAATATGCAGTAATGAACTAGTGCCTGGCAATGGAAAGTCAAAGACTGAGACAATTAAGCTATTATCCTCAAAATGAAGATTTATGTATGAATTGCATTACAAAGTAAAATGTGCTCAGTATGTGTTCAGTTGTTCCACAAATACGGGTATGATATAGAGTATACTGTCTACAGTGTCATACCATAGAATATTCTACAAAACACTCCACCTTCGTATTTACTAGCATGGACAGTTTTATGGAATATAATTTTATAAGACTATTTTTAAAATTAAAATACATTGTACCAATGACTCGTTGCCATCTATTGAGATTGCAATTATATATTAACAGCCAATATGTACCAGTACTCATCAGTCAGTGCAGTAAGCTTTGTATCCATGTGACTGAGCGAGAGGTTTAATAATATTGCTTGAAACAGATATAGCGCCTTATAATGTCAAAATGTCTCAAAGCGCTTCACAGGGTTTTCTGTAAAGTGTAGTGACTGTATTTGTAGGTGAACAATTAAAGCGAAAGGAGTCATGTTGAATTATATGCAATAATAATACTTGCATTTGTACTTGTTCATCCCATAATGGTTATTGCTGTTTTACATTTTGACGTGAAGAAGAAACATTAATTGTGCACAAATGTCACCATGATAGATCTTCAGGGTATTGATTTCTGACCAGTATTAACTAAACTGGCAATAACTCATAACATCTTGAATTTGCATCGTTTTGCTGTATTGAAGCTGGCAGAGGAAACAAGAATCTTTTTCCGTCTAGGATGATAAGTACTTTGCTAGGTGAGGTATCCTCTTCAGAGGTTGGAAATATATATTTAAGGTAAGGGTCCGAAAAGTTTAAATGATTGAGTTAGTCATGAGAATCACACTCTCAAGGTCAACTTAACCTTGCATAGTTTCCATTAGCTCACTTTGTTTAAAATTATCAATCATTAAGAGGCCTCCAGAGTCATTCATATCCGTGGAATTTACATTAGTTTACATTTTGATGGTCTCTATAAATGAATCAGAAGAATTCAGAACAACTTATACAACCTGTTTTGGATCATAAAAATTCAAGAACCAAAGTGCAACTTTTAAAACTCTTTAAAAATACATGAAAATAAAGTCACAGATCATTTTTGCCCGAAGAATTGACTTAAACTGATCATTTTTTTTAAAGTATGACTTGGTAAAGTTTAGTCAGTCAGTTTCATCGTATGTGATCTTCTGCCTCCCCCAGACAGAAAAAAACATACAGCAGTAGACAAAATGCCTCCCCTAATAGTAGCCTGACAGGATAAAATAGTAGACGTGCATTAGGAGATAACATTTGGGGGGAGTGTATTATTGGCCATGACCTGAAAATACACATTTCATATAGTTGACAGAATCATTTAATTTCAGTGAATAATCCTCCTATCCTAGGTCAAGCTGTCATTGCTACAATTCTATAGAGCTATAATGCCAACAGCTTGAGCGACACCTGTTTAATGCTGAGTAAAACCATATGTATTTCAGTCATGCTTTGCAGAAAATGTCGTGCACCATTATAAATCCAAGATGTGACACCCACAGCTTGTCTCTCACTTCAAGACCTTTTCCATTTGTCTACCTCTACTATTGTTTACCTTTTATTCTTGTGACACAGGCTGTGCTGCTGCCCACCAAAAGTCATCCACAGACCATTTGTAACAATAAAAATACGAATGAGTCATCCACGCAGCCAGCGATGCCAAAAATAAGCAACGGTGATACAATTGTGGGGTCCTGTAGCTCAGTGGTTAGAGCATTCGCCTTGCAAGCGAGGGACCTGGGTTCAATTCCCGTCAGGCAAAACCTTGGGCAAGTTTCCTTACTCAACATGCCTGATAATAATATTTCAAGAAAAAAAACAATAATAAATTGGTCACGTCAATCCACGACTGTTTGTGGGACACTGCTGTGTGCAATTGGCTGCCGTGTTTCACCCACAAATATAGTCAATTCACTTTACAGTATATTCTGCAAAGCACTTTGAGACGTCTAGAAGATGTGAAAAGCTCTATATCAAATGTAAGGATTATTATTATTATATACATATATATATGATTGCAAGCCATCAATGCACCCTATAAAATGGGTGCATTGTTTCCAGATTACCCTTGCGCTACTCATGCCAGTTCTATGTTAAGTCAGTATAGTTTCCTGTTACATTAATATATACGAGCACATTGTAAACATTTAGGTTTCATAACATTGGCAAATTGCGTTCATAACTCACTGGTCCCGGTTACTACTTTTCAAAGGCGATTCAATTCATAAAGTATCCATTGAATAAGCGTATTGTCAAGGAACAGCTCAATTAGATGTTAATCCCATTCGGTGTGAACTGTAGAATTAAGAGGCGACAAGTTGTTCCTGACTCTGATGTTCGACTTGGACTGAAGGCAGAGCCAGAAAATAATTCCCCCCACATTTGAACTCTTGTCAAATGATTTTCTTTTAAACTTTGAAAGGTTTAAACAGCAAAACGATTCACCACCAACAACTTGCATTTACACTAAAACCTCTTCCAGCTGGATCAATGGAGTGGGCGGGTGGTGGGGGGGAGGGGGGTTGAGGGGCAGATCTGGTCCAGCGAGCCAGAATTTCTAGCTATGTGTAATTCTAATGCCGGTACCAGCATTTACTGGCTTTTTTTTGACACTGGCTTTTTCCATGTCAAAAATGCCTGTAAATGTCGGTCCTAGCATTGTAATTGTTTGAATCCCACAAGCAGAAGATAGCGAAAAAGGCATCTTCTAGCCCTGGGATTCAAACTAAGTCCAAGTTGATATCCCTGGCCATTGGCCACGGAAGGCTAGCAAGCACAGTGAGACAGGGGCGCACGCGAGGAAAGTGGGGTCGCTGGAGTCTACAAGTGAACAACCTACCGATATTTTTAAAATTATTCTATTTTGGGTTTGATCCAGCTAGGGATCCGGGTGGGGGGGTGGGGGGTTTACTGCATATTGCAGTTATACCGACATATGAATAATATTTATACCTCCAGTTCAAAATTGGGAATACATTCTTTCCTGATTTCATGCTTCAAGTTATCTAATTTAGACAGCTTGGCAATCCCATACTATCACAGAGGCTAACTATTCATTACAAGGTTGGACATATCCATACCATCAGATGTAACAATTGACCCATCTGATATCTAAATGAAGGAATGGAAGACATAAACTATGAATGACTTGGTATTGTGTACTACCCACTCACAGTGGAATCCTCCCCCTTAAGGAAACCTTTACATGGATATGGTTCCTCCCATCTTTTTCTACAGACTCCAAGGCGTCTGTGATGAATGGCATCTCACACCTATCTTTAATCACAAGATCACCAGTTAATTTATTTTGTTTTTAACCTTCTGAGAGTTACTGGTGCTTATATCCCATTAACACAGTGGGGGTCTGTCTGGTGTTTATCTGGGGTTTTTTGGGCACACAGATCAAAGAAGCTTCTGTAGCTGGCAGGTAGCAGTTTCCAGTGTTGGAATGACCTGTTCAGCACTACCTTTGCTGTGCCTCATTCCCCATGCTGAGTGATCTTATATCATAATTTTCAATTCGCCAAGTAACTTCCTGGTAGGGCTTAATAATAGGCCTAAATTCCTTAATTTGTGATGATCAGTAGATCTGTGATGCAGCATATCCCATTATACACTTTGCGATCAAACATGCCATGTCAATTATTAAATTCACCTGTCATCCTATTTGTTCTCTGTGTTTTATGTGAATGTGTCATTTTCAGTCTTTCAGGGGGCAAAGGTTTGCCATGAGGAGTCCTGTAGCTCAGTGGTTAGAGCACTCGCTTTGCAAGCGAGAGACCTGAGTTCAATTCCAGGCAGAGCGAAACCTTGGGCAAGTTTCCTTACTCCACACGCCTAATAATCCGCAGACATGGGGTTAACTTCCACATGTATGCGGATGACACCCAACTCTACCTTTCTTCCTCTACCCTCAACTCCACGACCACCGATGTCCTGACAGCCTGCCTGTCCGACATCGAGTCCTGGACGAGAGATAACTTTCTCCAGCTCAACGTGCTCAAAACTGAGGCCCTCCTGATTGGCTCACGTCAGCGCCTCCGCACCTCAGGCGCTGACAACATCAGCATCCAAGGCTGCACTCTCCACCTCTCAAAGCCAGTCAGGAACCTCGGGGTTCTGTTCGACCCTGAGCTGTCCTTTCTCCCTCATATCCGCACCACAACTGGCACCGCCTTCCATCACCTCCGGAATGTCGCCAGACTACGGCACTACCTCACCCCTCACGCTGCTGAAACTCTGGTCCACGCCTTTATCACCTCAAGGCTGGACTATGGGAACTCTCTCCTCGCCGGCCTTCCCGGCACCTCCCTCCACAAGCTGCAGGTCATTCAGAACTCTGCAGCTCGTGTACTGTCCCACACCAGGCTTCGGGACCACATCACTCCCACCCTCGCTCGCCTCCACTGGCTCCCCATCCCCCAGAGGATCGAATTCAAGATCCTCACCCTCACCTACAAGGCCATTCACAGCCTTGCTCCCTCCTACCTCTCCGACCTACTATCCCCTACCTACCTGCCCGTACCCTCCGTTCCTCTGGCTCCGGTCTGCTCCACATCCCCCGCCCCAACCGCCCTATCATCGGTGGCCGGGCCTTCAGCCTCTCAGCCCCGAGGCTCTGAAACTCTATCCCCCAGTGCCTTCGCCGCCTCCTCCCTTTCCTCCTTCAAGGCCGGTCTCAAGACCTTTCTCTTTGACCGTGCCTTCAGCTCCCCTCTCGACTCTCTACCCCCTCCTCGCTCCCTCCCTTCCCTCCCCTCACCCTGACCATTTCCCCCCCAATGCTCGGGTCCTGACCCAACTGTACAGCGCCTTGGGACGTCCTCCCGACGTGAAAGGCGCTCAATAAATGGAATCTTATTGTTGTTGTTGTTGTAATAATAATCCCTCTAAAAAACAAAACAATAATAAATTGGTCATTTTCAATCCATGACTGTTTGTGGGACATTGCTGTGCGCAATTGGCTGCCGCGTTCGACCACAAATATACAGTCAATTCACTTTACAATGTGTTCTATGAAGCACTTTGGGACGTCCTCCCAACGTGAAAAGCGCTATATCAAATGCAAGGATTATTATTATTATTAATATTAGAAAATGATGTTTCCTCGTGAATAACACACAAAGGTTCTGGTTGTATTTATTTTGAAATTCCGCACATGTCATTGTTTGACATAAACATTATTTTTTCACCTTATTTTAATTTGAGGTTAATGGGATTTTTCATACTATTGTTCCACTACATGCAATTATGCATCTGGTTTAATAAATGATTGATAGTTATGGGGGTTGGTTTTATTTAGTTGAAAAGGTAAGTACAGAGCCAAAGACAGGAAATGCATTAAAAAACAGTATATAAATCATAAAAACATTACATTAGCAATAAACCTGAAATTGTGCAATGTAGACCACCACTTTATACAATTCACAATTAAAGAATACAAAATTAATTTGCAACCAAACCTATGCACAACTGATGTGAAGTTCAACAATGAAAAGAACAGCAGCTACAGTGTTTCCTCTGTGAAAGTAAACTGCAAAACTCAATGATTAATATTTTGATTAATCATTGATTAATATTTTGGTGTTTTGTCTCGTTTGAATAGAATTCCTCCTGAAGCCGGGTCTGATAATTACTAAGTCCCAAACCCTGTTTGACATTCAGAATTATTCTCAATGCAAACTCTCATCTACTGATGTGATCAGCAACCTTATAGACAAGTTTCAACATTCTTCAGCAGTTACTAAATGTTCCAAGTAGCTCCATAAAAACAACAATTTTATTACACTAAACATTTCAACCTGACACAGATGTTAAATTGGACTTGAATAGCAGCCAAATCAGAGTATTAGCCAAGAAACATTTTGTTTTTGTATAAGTGCTGTTATAATTAGCACTGTATTGCTGTAGTGTAGGGTGTGGCACTAAATTATTGAAAAGGGCTCCTATTATAGACATTAATCAGCAGAATGATTGCCACCAGATTAGGCTTTATTACGTAAACCACTGATCTACACTTTATTAAGCATATTTAAGTTTACACTTCATCAAATCATCAAATTTTGCGATTGAAAAAGAAAAGTTGGCAAATGTTACTTTCACTGCTAATTACCTCAGTCCATTCTGTAAACTTTATATAAATGGTGTCAGACTGGCTTAGTTGGTAACACGAGTGTTGGAATGACCCATTCAGCACTACCCTTACTGTGCCTCCTTCCCCATGCTGATTAATCTTAGACCATAATTTTCAATTTGCTAAATATTAATCGCCTCTGGGTCAGAAGGATGTGGATTCAAGTCTCATATTTGGGCTTTGAGATGGATATTCTAGGCTGAAACTCCAATGCACTGCTGGTGTTACACTGCATTGCCAGAGGTGCTGTCCTACGGATAAGATGTTTAAATGAGCTGTCAGATGGATGTTAAGAAACCTTGGTAGCATTTGAAAACAAAAGGGAGTTTCTCCCCGTGTCCTGGTCAACACACTAGTGTATAAGTGAGGTGGCCATGCGCAAGAGGAGAAGCCATTGGAAGTTCTGTAGTGATGGCAGAAATGACAATTGGAACAGAAACCGTGCCACGGAAGTGAACATCTACAGCAACGACAACTTGCATTTATATAGTACCCTTCACGTCAGGTAGCGTGTAAAATATGAAAGAAGTAAATGTGATCATGTACGACCCAACCACTTCTGTACAGTCTCTAATAAGCAGAATGAATGCCACCAGCAAATAATCACCAGATTAGGCTTTATTACGTAAACCACTGATCTACACTTTATTAAGCATATTTAAGTTTACACGGACTTCTATTACATATTAACTCTTAGGTAGAATAATTCACCATATAATTAGAAGAAAAGTTAATTTTTAATATATGGTGTCATGTATGATTGTTTTCATTGAAGATTATTCATAATCCAATCTATCAAATGAAGAACAGTTTTTTTTAAATTTAGAAATATCTTCATGGCTTAATGGGTAAATGTAAATGTGCTGCATAATGTTTACTTAAATAGAAATGACTAGAAAGGTCACTAGTTCACTCCCTATTCTTCACTGATTTAGTTGGAGCAGTGGCGGGTGAAAGCACCTCAATTGGGCTTAGAGGAAATATAAACTTCCTCAACTTTCACAAGAAAATCTAAACTTCCAAAAGATCAAAATGATGAACATATTGTAACATCATTGACAAGAAAGTGGAGATAGATTTGAGATTCTTAAAACCAACTCATCTGTTCTAATGACATGTATTTTTGTGTGCCATCTGGTTATGTTATAAGCTATTAACTACTCTAGCTATGAAGCTTAAGTCTGACCAAATTAGGTCTAGAGTATCATTTCAAGAGATCAAACATTAACTACTTTCCTGCTTGGCACAAACATATGATAATCTCAAAATTGCAACTAGAGGTATGGCAGCAGGTGTGGTCAGCGGAAGCCTTTAGGTCCACTAATAGGATTTAAAGTCCAATTAACTAGATTGCCTTAACATGGGCAACACTTTCTAGCTACCTCTTAAGCCCTTTGAAGACCTGCTAAAATTCAGGACCTGCCAGAGTTTTAGGGGAGGCAACAAAACATTCAAAAACATTACACCTTCATTTCATATGTTACTTTTTTGTCATTGGTGCTTTGATTATATTCATCATGTTGATCTTTAGGAAGTCTATAATGTATTTCCTTGTGAAAGCCTGAGGCACACCTTTTAACTTGGTTCAGCAGTCAGACTAATGATCCATTCTGATGGCATTCAGACACATGATAACTTAAAGTGGACATTAAAAAGGGGCGATGTAATGTAACAAAAAAACCTCATATTTGATGTAGCACCTAAAACATCAAAGTGCTTTTAAAAAAATCTGTGAGGTGCATTTGTAGGTGAACACATCAGCCAATTTGCACACAGCAGCCAATTTGCACACAGCAGTGCCTCACAAACAGCCATGAAGAGAATGACCAATTTTATCCGGGGATTGTTTGCCAGGACATTGCAGAAAACTTCCTTCTCTTAGCATAGAGTTCCACGTTTAACATCTACCTGAAAAGGCAGACATTCACTTTAGCGTTTCATCAGAAGGACAACACCTCTGACATTGCAGCATTCCCCCAGCATTGCATTAGTGTGTCTGCCTGGACTATGAGCTTAAAGCTCCAAAGTGAGGTTTGAACCCACAATCTTCAAACTCAGATATGAGAGTGCTACCAAGTGAGACAGACTGACACCTAATGTATGACTGCTTTTAGGAACATATTGCAAATCGACTTACAGCTCATCAATTGTACGTTTTCAGAGTTTTGATTTGATAAACTGATTGACCCAAGAACACTTGAATTTGCTGAACCTACTGGTTGACTCATGAAGTGCGATGAATTGTCTATTAATAAGGCACCTTCCTGCCTTTTCAGTCCATATTACAATAAATGACAAAAAGTAACCCACCAAAGAGGGAAAAATAATTGAAAATAAACATAACATTTAAAGAGTCAAATTTCCTAACTTTTACAGATTTTACATTTGATATACCAACTTATTGCAAATGTCTCAAAGCATTTTACACAAGTTACTTTAAACTGTAGAGCTAAGTAAGTAAAGGCAAATGTGGCAGCTAATCTGCACCATGCTCCAGTAAAGTGATGGACCACAAGATGATTTTTTTTGGCAAAGCAGATGAGGGAGGATTATTGGCCAAGACACTGGAAGAACTAAAAATGTAAGCTTTTTTTGAGATCTATTCAATGTAAGCCTACAAAAACACCAACCTTTGAAATAAATACAGGCTTCATCACTTACCAGGCTATATTTCATAGTTGTCATATTTTGTGCATTATGCATGACCCTCTTTAAAGATATTACTTTTATAATTCACATTTTTGTGTTACAGAGTGAAGTTCAACGTTTATGGAAAGAAAATACAAAAATACTTTCTGAAGCATCAGAATATGGTTATGATGTCGTTGACACTTTTAGTATAACTATGGGACGTTATAAGGAATTTCTGCAGGGAAGATGTGCATGTCATTTTCATGAAGTAAGTAACCATTTACTCTCCTTAAGAGTTTTTTGATTATATTTGCAAACAAAATCTTACAGTGTCCCTCTGAAATAGTTTATTTGTTCTTTTTCCGTTTAACGGTTTAATTAGACTGTGTAAATAAAACTGATTTAGATGCATTTGAGCCTTATAGAGATCACAGTACTTTATAGTAAATATAAAATGCAGATCCTGCTATAAAATGATTCTCAAAACACATACATCTAATTATTGGCTACATAACAGTTATCATTATACAACTACACCATTACTGAGTCAAGTCCTTCAATCAACTTGCCTACCGTAGAGATTAGCAGCAGTTTTGTTAGTTTTAGGTCACTGAAACAGTGCACTGCTCTACCTCAGGGGAATAGCACCTTGGGTGTTCTTTTTAGCCGAATCTCAAAACAGCACTTAGGATTGTACATGATGGTAATTAGTGTACATGAATTGTGATTAATAGAGCAAAACCTGGAACAATGCATTTCTCTGTTACCCAGCACCCGGAAACATCTTAAACGGGCAGTAGGTGTGTGGATACTTGATTATAAGATTAAAAATTCACATCCACAATTGTCAATCTGACACTTAATCCAGCTGTCTGTCTCTCTGACACTTTGATATTTTCATCTAAATGTGTAGAGTTGTCGATGCCAGATTACCTTGTTACATGTCAGATAAGTTGTAACTAAAACAAATAAATACTATAGAAGCAGAATTTCTACTACAGTATTTAATTCATGCAGAAATGCAGAATGTGCAAATCATTTCAATTTCTGTTTATTTTTAGGTAAATAATTTTCATTTTTCCAAACCACCATTTCATAGAAAAATAAGGCATTCAAAGCACTTCCTTGCTGGAAAGGACCACTCAAGTCAAAGCAAGCACTCAGCACGACAAGATTTTTCATCTCTCTTTAAATCTCACTATCATGTCAAAGGTCCAGTAAACCAGGTTTACTCAGAAATCCTCCTCAGCAGGATTTGTATGAGCACATTCAATACTACCAGCACTTAGTTACAAAAACAAATGAAGGGTATATTTTTACAGTATTAAACTTGCTGTTTCCCTGGAGGTCAGGGACAAATACCACACTGCATGTATTCCATTCCTCTGTGGTTGGCTACAATTGCTACCACCAAAGTCATACGATATCTTTCAAACCTTCAGAAAATCAAGACTTGCTTCTGCAAATTTCATGTTTCAGAAGGGTAAAAGGAAAGAGGGAACGTCAATGTGACTCATTATCTGACCAGAAAAATATGTACATCCACTATGAACCTAAGAAAATATTGTATAGGGGTTTAAGAAATATTCAAAAGATTGGAAACTCCTCAATAAGTTACTTTTTTTTAATCTGTGCAATATTCATTCATTTTCTGCACTATTTTTCTAAATCATTGTGATGCTGGATTTCTGAACAGCTTTTATTGTCGTATATATTGTTAACATTTCCCAGACTCGGCTGGTGACACCAAGTCATATATACCTCACATTGCTTACATTTATACAGCCTTCTCCTAGGTCTATGAAAATAGGTTATGATACTACAGTATTTGTATTTTCAAATGCCATCATTTATTTTGCATACAGGGAATATTTTATATTTACAAAGTTCCGATATTTTTATACACGTGTTTTTAATGCTTTATATATATATTTAATATTTCTCCGAAACACTAGAAAATTGGCAGTGTTTTAGGTGACACTATGGCCCTAAGTATTTTATAATACATAGCCAAGTCTAGCTACTACAGTAGTTGACAACCAAGGATGTAGATTATATATAATTTGTGCATCTAGAATTGTAGGGAATTGTTCATTTACTTAGACTGTTTTTTAAAACTAATCTCTGTGCATTAATGGCTGCCAACATTGTAAAAATCCACTGTAAAATACAATAGTCTATTTAAATAAATATATTTTTAGTGAACAAAATCAAAGGTGTTTTTCATCAATTAAAGAAGAACTAAAATATAGAGGGAGTACATTTTGTTCAGCATACTGATGTTGATCTCTATAACTATCTGCCTTGGATCTTGGTACTCCCAAAGGAACGACTGCTGCTGGCTGTTTGCTGTGAATATTGAGCTGCGTTGTAATCTATGTGCAGTAACTTTGTGCTGATCTACTGCGATTGATTCTCATGCCCAGATATTCAAAAGTGCAGTTATAGAATCTTTAGTGTGGCTGTCCTTGGCTTCCTATCAGCTGCTGGAGTATACAGAATCATAGTTACCATGCATTACCTCAAGCAATGCGGAGATCTGACATGTATTGCTACTCAGATTAGCTCTGGCTATGAATGAATTGGACCTCTGCTCTTTGCCCTCACCATGTCCAGACTTTCTCAAACTACCCATTGCCTGCAATACATTGAGCTCATGTTCAGTGAGCACTTACTGAATTTCTGTCTCTTATATTATCATCCCTTTCCTCTCTGTGTATTCTGTCCTTAATCACTGGTTCATCATTGTGATGTTTTTGCTTTATCCATTATCAGTTGCCAAAAATCATTCACAGTAATTGTACAATACTTAGTACAATTAACCATCAATTGCCTGTGGACCTGTTGTTAAAGCAATGGAAAACAAAACCTGTAGTTTGGGATACTTTTCATATCAGATATTTCTAGTAATAGTTGTCGACCAATATAGCTGTTAATAATAATGGGCACATGCACTATGAAGACTCATGGGTTATTATTTCTATCATGTGAGCTGACATGAAAATAAAATCGCATCTTCATTGCATCATATAATTATATCATGCATTGAACATGAAATACCCAGTAGTTAGAGGCTACAAAATAACAAACTGAGCAAAATAACCCCTGTAGCATTTTATTGTAGTGAATTTCGCAATGTGGATTATTATGGGATACTTGTATTCCACATATCTACATTCCACGATGTTATAACCTTCTGAGAGAAGTCACTTTTTTTCTGGATTCATTTTTAACTCACTTAGCTTGAATTTTAAAATTGTGTATCCCTTTTTCCTGTTCACTTTTGTTAATAAAGTATATTGATTATGTTCAAACAATTGCTGCTGTGCAAATGTTTGAGTTAAACCCACAATGACTTTTGGCTCAGTTTTACTATTTTTTGCTACACCTTTCTAATAGAATTTCCATTTTAAAGACGAAGTGAAAACATGAAGATAAGTTAACCCCTGATGTATGATACTTTCCATCATTGTGATTTTCTGAACAGATAACTCAGCAAAACAGCTGAGGGAAAATTGGAGTCATGGGGGAGGGAGGGGAGGACAAAATGAGTTTCAGGATAGAGTGAATAACGGACAAAAAAAAAACAGCCAAATTAATCAGAAGAGGGTGAAAGTACAGTGAATAAATCAAATTAAGAGGATATTATTGAGCTGGCAGACTACAAGGGGTTCCCAAATGGCAGACATGATCCAGAGCTGAACCACAAATCATCTTGTCTTGACTGTGCATATTCCAGCCACCTGTTCACTGCAGGCATACCATCCGGATGTCGGTAAGATCGATGAATGATTTAAGTAGACCTCGTCTAAATAGAATTGGGAACGCCTGACATAGAATGTAAGCCCAAAACTGGAGTGGAAAGGTTTCAAATTAAAAAGCTCAATTCAAAAGATTTTGGGTTACAATGCTGTGGTTATATTAATACTTTGAAAGCAATTGCTGCATTGGCATTATCCTTTATAGTAAAAGTGGACACATATCTGCTTGGATACATGGCTTCATAATCTAAGTACAGCTGCAGACCATGTTGAACAAATATTGCATGGGGCACAAATACTGCTAGAGTAGTCTGGAGGGAGGGGAACAGGTAATATTATTGGCAATTGGCTGCTGCGTTTCACCCACATACACTGTCAATCCACTTTACAATACATTTTGTGAAGCGCTTTGAGATGTCTCTATGACGTGATAAGGTGCTATTTCAAATTCAAGGATTATTATTATTATGGATGGAAGGAGGCCAGAGATGAATAAGTAGAGATGTGGGAATAAATAAATATTCTGGAGGTTTTGCTCGATTGCTTTCAGGGATTGGTGTGTTCATATGGAGCCTTCTCTTGGTGGTGGGGTGGGGGGAGGGGGCGATTGAGTAAAGGCTGAGGTGATGTTCACAACAGAGTGGATTTATCTTGGTTAGTAAAAAGAACAAGAATGAGGGGGAACTATCTCTTCTCGTTCCGTTAATTTTATGTTTCACAGGAAAATGATGTTCACATCTGTCCACATCCTGCACAGCTGCAGTTCTTAAGCAATGATCTCAATCCCAATATTTTGTGTTACTGTCCAGCTGTAATCTGTGAAAGTTGGTCTGGAGTGTCTTGGCATGTCTTTCCTTTACCTGAAAAAGAACGTTCAACACCAAGTAACATATTCACGTACTGTCAGGTAAGTTTAAGAAGTGACACGTTAGTTTTTATCAGTGCAGTTCCCCATCCAAATCATGCCTGTCAACATTCATCTAAGGGGTTGGACCAGATGATACTGTATTTTTGGTTATGATGTCCCCTCTTCAATTAAGTTACAGTCATGAAACTCAAGCTTTGCATCTATTATTCTATGTTTTAATGTTAAGCTACTGTGGTGAAATTCCAACTTTTGCATCAGTCAATATTTCTGACTTTTATCTAAAAAGTGAAATTAAATATTTAATAATTAGCTGCCACATTGACTTGAACATAAATACCTTTTCACATCAGCAGGACAAGGTGGAGGCAGAGCTTACAAGATCCACACAAGGGGTGGAGATGAAAGCCTTTCCAGCCCATTTGATCTCACTCTTCCAGAAAACCAAACCTATTGTTTCCAATACAGCATCAAGATGTTTTTAAATGAGTCTAGTATCCATCCCTCAACCAACCTTCCGGATAACTCACTCCAGCTTACCCTCTGTGTAAAGAAATAATTCTTGGTGTCAAGCCTTAAATTGCCGTTCACAATCCCAAACATGTAATCTTTCATTCAGATTCCTTGTCTTATCGTAATTGTTCTGGGTACAGCAGCTCAGGGAAATTTCAAAGTAATACACTGTGTTTGCGCAACATGCAGTGGATGCAGGTCTGTTTCCTTCACTCTGCTAAAGCTTATGCCAGGCTCTACCCCACAGTAAAAACCCGAGACAACTAATTCAGTGCACAATTGATAAGGACCTCAGTGCAGATTACTGGTCAACAGCAACTGCAACCACAATAGTAACAAGTGAGTGACTGTATGGTTACAATAATGAGAAATCATTTAGAAATAAAGGAAAGTGTTCCAATGAGCAAAGCTGATAAATTATCCCTTTGTGGCTGCTGTAATTAAACCAGTCAACCCACAACTGAACGATTGCATAATTTGTATTTTATTTTAAAAGCTTGTTATTGGGTTTATGTTTTGTTTAAATATTAATTAACACATATTGTGTAAGCCTCTGAAACCAAACTAATTTTAGCAGCAGCGTTTCGTTGAAAAGGATAAAAGTGCTCCCAATGATTGTGTTGGTTTGGACGGCAGGTGTGTCAAGTCAACTTAGTTGAATCTTGAAACATTCCAACCTGAATCCAAGTTGATTATTTATGTGCACAATCACAATTTAACTGCTTTTTACAGGTACCCATTTGCGCCACGAACACCATTATATCGGATCGCACACGACCACAAACAGAAGAGGCTGCATATTCCATCAAGGATTCATCTTGCTAACTACTTATTACTCTACTTCCACAAGACAAATTAGCCACAATTATTTTTTTAAAAATTACTTAATTCAATGAAGATGCTTCCTCTAATCAGCGCACTAATTGTACAGATACTCTCTAATTGTGCTACACTACTTGTACAGATAAGGTGACAGATAGGTGTCATTATTTTTGGTGGGCCAGGTATCTGACATATGTGGAAACCCATCACCATGCTTAAGAGTATCCAAACCAAACTGAAAATGAAAACTAAACAACGAAAATCTTGTCAAGACAATGAATGACTTTGTATCTTGTTCTCTTAAGACTGGCTGTAACTGCTAGAGTTTGCTACCATCACAAAGTTCAGTGTACAGTCCAGTGTGCATCTTTATTTAGAAAACACACCTAGTAAATATAATATTTCAAAGGAGTACTCATTTCGTTTGATACATTGTTGAGAATACTGTCATTTGTATTGCCAGATAGCAGTTTAATATGTTACAAAAAATAATCCTTGCTTTTGATATAGCGCCTTTCATGTCAGAAGGATGTCTCAAAAGGCTTCACAGGATTTATTATAAAGTGCATAACTGTGCATTTTGCAGGCAAATGTGGCAGCTAAATTGCACACAGCAATGTTTCAAAAAAAAACAGCCATGAGGTGAATAATCAATTTTATCTGGAAGACTGTTGACCAAGAGGCCGGGAGAAACTCCCTTCTCGTTTCAAGTGGTGCTATGGGATCTTTAATGTGTGCCCTCCTACCCCTACCCTTCCTGCCCTCCATCCCTCCTGGTCCAAAACCCGCAGCTTGGGTTCAAATCTCTGACTGTCCAGCACCTTGGAACATCATCCTGATGTGAAAAGCACTTACAAATGTAATTTGTTGTTTGTCGAATAGACAGTTTAACATCACTGTTATGTTAGAGCATTCTTCATTTAAATCATATTTTTAACATTTGAATTTTATGTGGGTGGGAGGAACTGGTTTAACAACAAGATGCATATACAAACAGCTGGGATAAGGAGAGAAATCTCACAAAATAGGTTGTAAAATTCTTTGACTATTTTAAAGTGCAGTGTTGCACTATTTAGCTTGCATTAACAGTAAAGTTCTGAGGCTTCAAGTTCTATCTTGTCATAGCTTGTAAAACCACAGTGTTTTTTAATGTAAGATCTCGCACAATTGTGGAAAATTCCTAAATTTATTCTTCATTTGCAAATCATTTTTCTGCAGTTCTTAAGAAGAACTGGCTTCCAAATTAAGA